CTAAACTATAATTCAATCCACAACGCCACACTAACAGAGCGATGAACACACTGCGAGCACATGGGACGACAACACATGTACTAACCAAAAATACCACTGGACAATGTCAGCCCCAGGGCTCTAACGACCATATGACTGCTGCAAACGCTACAGAACACACCAAACGCTAAACAAACGCTAACAGATGGCCAAGGCACTATCAAACGCCTACAAAAAAACGCTACTGACCAGACTAGCTCCTGGTCATATACTATGTAAAATTTCATTGAACTATATCAAACGCTGCAGAACACACCAAACGCTAGCCAAACGCTCACAGGCGGCCAAGACACTAACAACCGCCTATAAAAACGCTACTGACCAGACTAGCTCCTAGTCGTTAACTATGTTAAATTTCATTTAACTATATTAAAAAATGGCGCAGTTTAAGATTCTTGCTTTAACTGTGCCTTAATTTAAACTACCAACCTGTTTTCTAATGTTGCTGAGACGCAGATGAAATCAAAAATTGAAATATGTTGAATGTATTCACACAGGCCAACACCACCACCATGAGGACAAACAGGAACTGAAAAAAAAAAGATCATTAGAACAAAGTTGACTTCAGCTTTTACAGTCAAATGTTTAATGTAACAGTTGACTGAGTGGACTTTAGAGGATGAATGTTTCAATTTTTTTGTGTCATTAAAATCACTCTGCATGGGCTATCATGACTTCAAACAATTCATTTTTTTGTATATCCCAACCAATCCTCTAAGGGAATGTTGGATGGTCAGATGATGGTGATAGAATGATAGAGAAATTTGAGTCACTATATCCAGAACACCACCCCTCCTCCCTCCAAAAAAAGATTTTATTTTATACAGATTGGATTTTTTGGCTTGTATGTCACTGACATTACCTCCAAACTTAGCAGCCATCAGCAAGACAGCCAGCACTTCATTAAGTCCACCCATACGACAGCTGTCAATTTGACAAAACTGGAAACCATTAGCCTGGAAAAACTGCTTGAAGATGACTCGATTCTGGCAATGTTCCCCTGTTGCCACACCTATTCCGTAAGGTTCCAATGCTTTGGAAATTGCAGCATGCCCTGTTAAATGGTTAAGAATGGAGTTACAGGGTGAGATTTCCTTCATTTATTAAAATCAATAGTTTTCAAAGCTGTGGTTGGTTTTGCAATTTGTGACTTTCCAGTAACTGTTTCAAAAGATACAAATTATCTGCAAGATGCTCTAACCAGATTTAAGCAAAGAGGCAATTTTGCACAAATCTGGAGTATGCATGGAGAACTGCTTTCAAGTAAAGATTTTCTCCCCATTAGTCAAAATTGCATTTTTAATTTTTTCAAAATTAAACTCTTGATTGTCAATTTTCTCTGTTCAGTTACTGATATCAAGGGCAAGATCCCTTCGCCTATTAAAAGAAGTTTCGTTTTGCAAGTTTACCTAACACATCATCAGGGGATGTAGGTTCCTCAATCCAGACAGGTTTAAATTTTGCCAATTGCTTCATGTAACTGATAGCTTCATCGACATCCCAGCACTGGTTTGCATCCATTGCCTACAAGAACAAAGAGATGCAGCTGACTGGTTAGAGAGCAATAGCAACTGAGAAACTAATAAACCTATAATAAATAAAATAATAAAATAAGAAAACTAAAAAATTCCAACCTGTTTCCAGTTAAGAGGATTTGATAGGTACATTGTACTGTTGTATTTGAATTGAAAATCAAGGAGAAATTGGTCTAAGCAACTGACTTTGAAACTTCTGTGGCTTAAAAGATTGGCTATTTACCAGGAAGTTATCCCATCCAATCTCATCTCTGAAAATAGCCGCTCGCCTGATATCATCACTCAGATCAGAACCAACTTTCATCTTGAATCTGCAAACAAAACAGCCAAGTTAAATATAATCCATTATTAATAATAAGTACGATGCAGTGAACTCAGCTTTGTGCCAAGAAAAGGTGGAAAAATGGGTAAAACACAATCAATGTGTACCTGACAAACTGTTTAATATAATATTAATACAATTCTAAGAATATTTGGCATACAGAATTGTCTATTAACACCACAGAGATGAGAAAGAAGGCGAGAACTTAACTAACCTCGTCCAGCCAGTTGTAAGATATTTTTGGCACAGTTTACGTAGTTGAATGTCAGTGTAGCCAAGCCACCCAGCTGATGTTGTGTAAGAAGGATATCCCTTAGCAATGATCTCTTTTTCTGAAAATAAATATTATTATTTTATTATTATCATGTTGATTTCCGCCTTTTGTCAATCACAGTATCAACAGGTCCCAGCATGACCCAAGGTGTTTTGATAATTATTTAGAGTCATACAATTAGTACAAAATAACTTAATAATAAAAAATAATAAACAAACAGACTTCTTTTTCTTAAATATACCTCTTTCTTCTTTGCTGCTTGCATTTCGTCGAAGAATACCTTGGAATGAGAAACATTTAAAGTCTGGGTGAATGCCAAGATTTGCACAATGTGTCATAAAGAACATTTAAGAACCTACTCTTTATCTATTCTTTCATTCACTGTGAAAACGTAGTATGAATCGTAAACAGGTAATTTACAGAACAAACAAAAAGAATAAAAACAAAAAAACCTATGGCCTCTTCTTTGGTTAGAACATCTGACCTAAAGAAAATAAATATTTCAAATTAACAGTTATAAGTAAGTTAATTTATTACAAATGTGTCAGTCTCTCACATGTATAATTAATGCACAACAGTATTTGGGAGCTGACTTACATGTGCTTGTTTGCTGGGCACAAACCAGCCTATGTACCTATTTAATATCATTCTATATACCGGTATTCAACATTTGTTGTACAGTTATAAATTCAGAAATTTTGGTGACTGTGGTAAATTTTATTTGTCACTTACTGTGAAGAGTTTCTTATAATTGACTGCTTCACAATGTAATTTTGATTGATCACATGTAATATGCCATGATAATGCAATAAATTATTATCATTATAAATTGTGACACTTACAGATAGCTGAAGTCTATTGTTGATACCAGCTGTTCTGGAGACTGTGTATTGCAAGAAAAGTGGAATGAAAGTTTAGTTTAGGCTATCTTGAGTGTAGCCAAACGAATGAAATTGGGTTGTGAAAGAAAATGAATTACATGGATGTAAGTTATCTGGAAAAGGATGTGAAATATTGAGCTAAAAATGACTCACCATGTCTGCAAGAAGTTTCCAAAGTGGCTGTAAAAAAATAAATAAATAAAAAATAAATAAATAAATAAATAACATTAACCATTTGAAACATATGAACTGATCATCAGACTACACAGTGGCTGGAACATTAAGTGCTGAAAAATGAGGGGTCCTTTGTGGCTCCAAAATAAGAGGCTCCAGTAAAAGTGGATCCTTTTCAGAGGAAGTAAAGAGGGACAAAAAAAAATTTTCAGAAACTGCCTAAAAAATCCAAATCCAAATTCAATATTACCTTGCCTTCCAACTTTGCCCAAAGGTCCCACAATGCATTGACAACAGCTGCTAGCGCCAGGTGAATGGCTCCTTTTTCTGGACCAAGCTAAAAATCAAAGAATGTCACAAACATTCAGATATATAATTACAGCTAAACATTTACAGCAGGTGGAAATCATAGCCACATTTATTAGCATTTTTCAGCCTGAAAGCTCTTAGGTATTTTAGTCAGGTATTTTATCTGACTTATTCTGCATCCCTGCATAGCTACTGTAGTTCACCTTTACATGACTTTGAGTGGAGATGTTAAACAAAGTACATGTAAGTAAAAGCAATCAGTTGCTGTTTGATCCTGTAACTCAATGTTTTAAAACCTGAGAACAAACTAAAAACAGTATTTCACAACTTTATAAGAAGGCTCTGACTAACAATGTATTAATCATTGTCAATAGTTAGCATGATAATTATTACCATTGTGAAGGACCTTACCCATCTTAACTGGCTCTCATGAGCTAATTCCCTCCAAACCGCAGCAAAGTTACCAAAAATGTCTTCAGTTGTTCTGCCAGTGAGCATTTTTCCATATATTTTTACAGCTTCCATTACTGAGGGGAAAAATGTACATATATCTTAAATTGAAAGGTACAGTTCCAAACAGATTCAGGGAGAGGCAGTCTTGGTGTTCACCCACATTTTGAAACATTATAGTTGTATTTTTTTTATGGGCTTAGGGGTTACCGGGCCTTTCTAGATCCTCTTTTTCAAGCAGTCACACAGGATGTGGAATTAGGAAAGGAAGTGAAAGGTAAATATAATACATAGATGCTGTCAGCACAACATGTTATACCTTTTGCAGTCCAACTGGATGTTCTTTTCCTTACATATTTGCATTGTTGTAGTGCAATGTTTCAATATTGATTGGCAGTTTACTTGAGCAGTTTGCAAATTCAATTCAAATTTGCTCAAACAAGTTGCCGCATTACTGAGATCAACTTTTCATTTTTAGTTTTAATTATAAACTGAAAATTATAATCCCTCTTCTGTGTCAAGTCAGGGGAAAATAATTGCCTTTAAGACTGACTGTTTATTAACAGGCTGTGCAAAATAATAATAAGTTGAGTTTACATTGTCAAATGGAGAACTGTCAGTAAAGTTGTAGCTTTAACATTATTGTCAGTTTTGAAGAACAAGCTTTAACCACGACACATATTATTTTTACCTAGTTCATTTCCTCGCCCTAGAGTAAATGTCAAGCCGTGCCCTTCCACACCAGTTTCTCCATCTGTTTTGAAGACAATATACACTGCAGAGTAATCAGGTGACTTGTGCTGCAAAGTGAAAGTCATTTTTCTTAGCATATAACTTTTTTAAATGAATGAAAGGAATGTTTAAGATTTATATTGGCTAATGCCAGTAGATTTGTGGGGCTTGTACTTGACATCATACCTTGGCAGTCCAAAAATTGAAGCCCAAATGCTAGATTTTTGAGTTCAAATTGCTGTGGAGACTGAACAGTGTACTTGATTGAAGTGGGTGTTTCGATTTAAAATTGTGTCTAGGTGTATGTTAGGAGATGTACCCTCAGGGAGGTATCTCTGCCACGTTTCCAGGCACTTTTGCAGTCTTTTTCTTTTCAATGATGGCCTCACACACAGTGCTCAAACTAAACCTAGGGATGCTTGGGGGCAAGGTGCTGAGCAATTTTATTTAGTGTTTTGCTGTTAATTGTGCAAGCGACTCATTTACATTTGGCAGGCTGAATTGAGTTTGCACTGAGATGAGACGGGGGGCGGGGAGGGAGGGAGGGCAGACAAGAAATTAAGGAACCAAGATGCTGACACTGACTAAAGGAAGAAGGTAAACAACAGGTTCGAGCAAGGAGAGATGATTTTTAAGACTTACAGAAACAACTATNCTAACCGACACGGGCTAACGGGTAAAATCTGGCTAACCGGCACTCCAGCTTTGTCAATATCCGTTGATCTACTATGTGAAAATGAAGAACATCATAACGGATTAAAAATATCCAGGTAAAAAAATTTGTTTTAAAATTACCTAGTTAAAAAAATATAACCTAGGTAAAAATCAAATTTACCTGAAGAAAAAAATTACCTACAACAGTGACATTGGGGGTGAGCGGAGGCCGCGCACTGACAGTGTTCGCACCTCGCATCACAATATCGCATAAAAGAAGTTTCTCACCATAGCATCCGACCCATGGAGCTCCAAGGAAGTTGGAAACCGTATATCCCGAACGGATAGTCCATCGAGCTTCACCATTTTGCAGAATTAACTGAACAACATGAAAATCACGAGATTGTCATCTCATTTTAGCTCATCGATGACCGAGTGGGATTGAAACTAGTGACGAAAAAGTTCACCGCTGGCTTTTCGCGGGAAAATTTCAATATGGCGGACTTGTTTTTCAGACGAACTAAAACAAGGCAAAAAAGTGAATTTTGTGGCTATTTTTCTCTTTCTTTTGTCATTCTCGGTTTCCAGATTTCATTTTCCGCGATTAACGTTTGATCTACTTCACATTTTGGTGTCATTTTCGGAAAAATTGACATCAAATCTACCGCTAGCGACTGGCGTGTTTTTTTCTGTATTTAAATCTTCAAATTTGCACGATTGCTGCAGCGTGATGGATTTTGATCAAACGCAAACGATATCCGATTACGAAGAAGAGGAAGAAGAGAAAGTGGAAGAGGATAAAGCTACTACTAAGAAAAAGGAGGTAAGTTTGAAGAAGAAAGCAACTGAATGTACCGTGGTACATTAAACATAATTTCATAGACACCCGCACTCTGTGCAAGCGATTTGTTTAAAATANTATGTGATTGAACAATGCACAAAGAGCCTGACTGTTTAATATATAAATGACTGTCTGTTATATCTCTTTGAAGGTGACAATGTTATAGGAAGAGATGGAAAGTGTAACATCACAGTTCCTATCAAGGTGAGTATTCAACATTTCCACCAGTCCAGCATATTATTGAATCGTTGGAGCCCTGGCTTTCACTCAAGTTGGGCTGTTGGGTCTTAGTAGCGCAAGTAAATCATATTAACTCTTTTTTCTGCTTTAATGTAGGCCTTGTCAAAGAAGCATGCCTGCATTGAAGTGCAAAAAGATCTTCATCTCATTTATGATTGTGGAAGCAAGAACAGGACTAAAAGGGGAAAGGTATAAAAGTACATCATGTGAAAGTGCATGACACTCTGTCTGGTTCATAAATAATAATTAAAAAAAGGTTTGGCAGGTTGTTTCAATTAAAACCTAGGATACCATTATACCAAAAAGATTGGATATATTCTGTTTTCACGAGTAGTCCCATACAAAGAAAATGTCTCTCTTAAATCTAATGGACATATTGCATGCATTTTTTATTGTTTCTTTGCCATTGAAAACTATTATTTTTTCATTACCTAACTTCTTGTCTGTCTAGATCATTCTTTAATGTTTTATTTTGTAGTCTTTCTTGAAGCCCACCATACGATATGAGCTTAAACATGGTGATATGTTAACACTGGGTGATGTAAAATGTCAGTATTTGGTGGGCCTGGACATGGAAGAGGTAGGAAAAAAACTAATGAAATGTGTTGCTGGTGCAAAAAGTTGATCCAAAGGTTTACCAGACTGAAAAATGAAAGACATCTCGATGGACATCCCGATTGATACGCTGTCGTCACTTGATCAACAGTTGGTTGATCATCGGACGAGTGTTGACTGAGTCAAGACATATGAATCGATCGAAAATTAGTCGACTCTTGACCGACTGTCGACCAAGATGTCGATGGAGTGTCGATGGAGTGTCAACTGAGGTGTTGATGGAGTATCGATTGAGGGTCGATAGAGGGTATCGATTGAGGGTAGCGATCAACACTTGACCGCAGATACCTTTAGTACACATAATCTGACGTGTCTTTAACAGTCCAGTAGCTTGTCACGTTTTAGAAACGTTATAAACAGTTAGCATAAATGGCACCGATCCTTGAATAACAATACTAATTTGTCCTAAGCTTCGCATTCATATGAAAAATCTATGTCTGGAAACATTAACAGGAGGCTTAGGATACGTATAACATATTGTTGTTCAAATTTCGGTACCATTTATGCCAAGTGTCTATTCAGTGTTATGGTCTCTTGACTGCAACCAAATTGTTCCAGAAAGCAAGACCACAATTATGTGACTGTTATTAGGTAGTCTCAAGACTCAAGTGACTTATAAAACAGGAGATCTCACTTGGATCCAAGGGACGGCACCTACAGTACATGTAACTAGGTACTCCGCGGGTATTTAATGTAATAATTAGGTGTGAGTTGTACAATGTCTTGACAAGTAACATTGTTTTTTAATGTATACTAATAGGAAGATGAAGATGAAACTGGTTCAGAAACAGGATCAGAGTCCATGCTACAAGATGTGAATACTGAAGAGGAATCAGACGCTGATAAGGTATTTAACTCCAGAAGTAAATGTGTTGCCTCCTGTGAGCCATTTGGGATGTCTGGTAGGTTAAGTTTTGCTGATGATTTTCTGTTTGTCATTATTTTGTGGTTTAAAGCCAGTTGTGACCGATAGTGCTAGCACTTCAAAGAAGTTGGACGAAAATGGTAGTATTCCAAGGAATGCATTAGTGCAGCCAACAGAAGACCACCGAATAACAAAACCAACCAAGGTAAAATTACAATAACTGTGCACTAAGTATACCAGTAATCCTGATATCCATGATTGTAACTTTTGGTTTCATTAAGTAGTAGCCAGGTTTGTCAAAAGTGGTTGGCTGTGCGAAAATAACCATCAACTTCAAGATCTCAGCCAGTAACTCTGTTTGCTATTTGCGTGATTCTTTAAAAAAACGATTGCAAAATCAGCCCTCTACTTACCGCAATAATGCCATTTTCTCCAAAACTTTGTCAACACTGAGTACTTGGAGTACACGTACCTACCTCAGAGAAGTGTCCCCATATGGGAGATTAAAAGAGTGTCCACTTGGGAGAATTGTCCAATCTGAGGTGGAGTCCGTTAGCAGAGGCTCAACTGTGTCATTCGTAGGACTTTTTTTAACAGAATTGAAAAGTTTAAGAGCTGTCTGTTACTGAGTATATTTTGAAGCAATTATATTCCTTAGACTGTCTGTAAGTTTATGTTCATTGAGGTCTACTCTGACAGAAGGTATAAAATGTAGGAGGCACAGTTGTCAAAATGGTAATAGGAGTCTCACTAGTATGAGTCTCAGAGGTCAAGACTGGGTCTTGGAGATGACCCTCGCATTTTGTTCCTTGGCTAAGACACTTGATGCTCAAAGAGTCTCTTTCCAGTTGCAGTGGGTGATAAGAGTTGAGATACTTCAGTGTAAAATGCCACTTTTGAGTGTTTTATACAAATTTCCCCCTTCAGCTTCCCCCAAGCAATGTTGGTTTTTCTATCTTTGAGACTGCACAGCAACTACGCAACATTGTACTCGGGGCCTGGGGGTATCAGAGAATCTTCGCTAAAGGCAAATTGAAATAGAAGAAGGGGTAAATTATTGTTAAATGTCCTTTCCCAAAAGTTTCCCAAGTACTTCTGTCACTCATTGGAGGTGTTAAGGGTTACAAGGAAATTGTTTTAGAAACTGGACATGATTCTAACTCTGGATAGTACACTGTATGGTAGCGTCACATTCAGGGGAACAAATAATACTCCTTACTACTTTTTAAAAGAACAAAAAGATGCATGAATTCTTTGGAATTTTTAGGATGATGAAGAGGCATATGCTGCAGACACAGATTCAGACACGGATGAGGAACGTCCAATTGCAGTAGCAGCAATGGCTACTGTGTTGTACAGCTCTGAAGATGAGCAAGAGACACCTAGAAGGCCGCAGGTATCGAGTAAGTTCAGTCAAACCAATATGAAAATTTCAGGTAAATGCAACCAGCTATTTCTGAGTTACCTTGTGCCTATGTTTCAAAACAAGTCCTTGTGCAGAACCTTTCATATGAAAATGAGTTTGATTTCCATGAAAAAGAACCTGTAGGGGAACACATTTTCATATTAATGGTTTTGCTCAAAGCCTCATTTTGGCACAGAGGCAAGAGATAACTTGGAAAGGGCCTTTTCCAATAGCCAGAGCCAAAACATAACATAGGTCACTGACATAAGGAAGCAAAGAGGTGTTTGTGTCATCTAGCGCACTCTATGATTATATTATTGGCATCATTAGTTATTGGTTGGATCAAAAATTGACAGCTGGTCAACTCCATCACATTTATGCTTTAAGTGATGGTTACCCCTAAAATAATGTTGTTTAACGGCAACTGTTTTGCCTTGGTTAGGTGTTCCAAGTAAAGGAAATTCTAGTATGGAAGGTCAGACTCTAGCATTTGGACTTGGTAGCCCAGCCAATGTGTTTCAAAGCAGGTACATTGCTTGTGAATTCAAAAGTTAAGGCACTGGTAGTTTACTTTGTCTTAATTCTTGTAGGCTTATAACTTGAAACTCCTTGGCTTCAGCAGGGCTGTCAGTCAGATATTTAATGTACCGCTTTTTCAAGGCTGGTAGTGACTTAACTGAAGGCCAGAAAGTATTATTAAAAAAATGTAACAACCATACCTGTTTGAATGGTCTGCTTGTAGAGAAAATGAACTTACCTCTCCCTCTTGTAAACTTCCTGTGTATGGCATTAAGTGAAGCAAAGAGGCTCCTTTCTCATTTGCATAGACATTGACAGCTATTTAGGGTTATGATCTTCTTGGGAAGTGTGGTGGCTTCATGGTTAGTGCACTCGTCTCTGGATCGAGCAGTCCGGGTTCAAGTCTTGGCCGGGGACATTGTGTTGTGTTCTTGGGCAAGACACTTAACTTTCACTGTGCTTTTCTCTACCCAGGTGTATAAATGGTTACCAGCAAATTTAATGCTGGGGTTAACTCTTTGATGGACTAGCATCCTATCCAGGGGGGAGTAGAAATACTCCTAGTCGCTTCATGCTACAGAAACCTGGATAAGCGTGGGCTTGATGAGCCACTTAGCCTACCTTCCATTGGGACCACTTTTTGAATACATACAAAGAAAAACATGTAATTCACATATTTGTGTAAATTCAGAATAAAATGAAAATAAACTTTATCTTAATTATTTTCCTGTTTATAGAGATTCCACAGGTTCATCTGGATCGCACCCAGGACAAACAGCAAGTTTTCCACCAACTTTAATGGTTAGCGCTGAATCTGATTCACAGTCAGATGGGAAAATGGATGTGTCGTCAGATAATGATCAAAAACCAGGCTCGTTCAAGTGCCCTGAGCCCAGGAGCTCAGGAACACAACCTCCCTGTGAGCCTACACTTTTGTATGGATCTGAATCAGATGATGGGAGCCCCATAAAAAGACCAAAGCACCCGGAAGCAAGGATCCCAGGCAAGGGCCCCTCTTGTGAGCCAACACTTTTGTATGGCTCTGAGTCAGACAATGGGAGCCCCATAAAAAGACCTAAGCACCCGGAAGCAGGGGTCTTAGACAAAAGCCCATCTTGTGAGCCAACACTTTTGTATGGCTCTGAGTCAGATAATGGAACTCCTAAAAAGAGACCAAAACAACCTGGAGCTTCAAATGAACCAACTTTGCTATATGAATCTGATGCTGAGGAAGGCAGTAGCACTGTTGTAGCACCCACAGAATCTGATGTAAGAGAAGATGGTCACCATGCCAGCGATGAGCAAACACTGTTATACAGTGACGTATCTGAAGAAAAACCACCAAGTCTTCCTGATAAAAGCTCAGGGAATGTGGCAGAAAACAGGACTGACATTCAGCAACAAGCCACTGCAATTAAGGATGCCGATGCAACACTACCATATGCCGAAGCAGAGATGAGTTCAACGGATGATGAAGATGAATCAGGTATGGTGTACTCTACCATAAGAGCAATAATCTAGGGAACAATTCTTTTATCAAGTGGTCACTTACTTTCTTTGGATTTGTATTGACATGTGAATATCTTGAGAAACTGTGGACAGTGCAGACTCCACAATCTCATACACGTGAGTTCGAGACTTTGTTTACCTTATAGTTTATATGGAAGGGTTTAAAGTGTACCAAGAAATTGAAATGGCATTTAAGATGGGTTACCATGTTTTTTTGTTAAATTGCTTTCATTTGATCTATTTTTAGGGGCAGATGCAAATGATAAAGATATTAATCTTGAAGAAACTCTGGCTCATGCAGAACCTACTTTAGCATACGATGCTGAAGAAATCAGAAAAGATGATTCAGCAGATGATGAACATGAACATTTGGATGCTGATGATTATGGAGCAGACATTGCCACTCAAGCATATGCCGTTGACAATGATGAGAGTGAGTCTGATACGGAAAGTGAACCTATTCCACTTGGGAGTGGTCACACAGCAGCTGACAAGAGTGGCACAAAGCAAGCAGCTAATCCCTCTGACTTGGAAGCAACACAGGCATATTGCTTAGAGGATGAAGATTCCAACAGTTCAGATTCCCAGCCACTGCCAATTGGTACTGCCACAACCACCACTCATGACGACATTTCAGCAACCATGGCATATGGATTAGAAGCAACTCAAGCTTACAATGTTTCTGAGAAAGGCGGTGATAGCTCTGAAGATGAAGGTGAACAAGACAAGAAGCAAATGCCTGCTTATGACTTACAAGCAACTCAGGCATATGGCGCTGGTGATGATGATGATGATACAAAAGATAGCCATTCAGAGACAGTTGAATTTAAGCAGTCAGCTAATATGGACACTGTAGTTAATGAAGGTGACACAGGCCAGCCTACCATTCCGCATGGACTGGAGGCAACTCAGGCATATGGTGCTGATGAAGAAACAGATGATGAGGATGCTGACAATGAAGTGGACAGAAGTAGTACAGGTGGGGATCATGGCAGAGGTAATGCAAATGCAGCAACACTTGCATACGGTTTAGCTCCCACTCAGCCATATGGAGTTGGTGGTGACGATGATGATAGTGATGATGATGGAGATAATAAGACTGATAAAGACAGTGGTAATGTAAGACAGAATAACCTGGCTACATTGCCTTATGGGCTGGAGGAAACACAGGCTTATGATATGGATAACAACGACACAGGTACTTTTTCTGAGCCAATTTGTGTGTGCATTTGAGATATTGAATCACTCAGTTCTTGTATTTGTTTAACCATTGTTCCGGGTGAAATGANCTGGTAAAGGTTTGTAGTTTGTCTTTTCTAATGTGCTAATAGTAATTATTAATTTAATTAATTATTGATTAAATGGCAGTGTAGTTATTGTAATGCAGGTTTAATTTGTAATGACATCCCCCCCCCCGTCACTTAACTCTTCTGCACACTTAACTGTGCACCAAGGCACACCTACACCACTATACACCCACCCACCCACCATCTATATACACCACCCACACACCTGCCCACTCAGGCAACCTGTTTATCTCAGAAACCACCTGCCCACTGAAGTCTCCTAACAAGAAGTCCAGGTTAACAGCACTAAACTTGTGGGTAATGCACTTATTTTTACTCTAGGTGGCAAATACAAACCTTCTGGTAGTGCTGCAGCTGACATGGAGGACTATCTGCCGGACAGTGAGTACTTGATATCACAGCCACAGTCACATTCCAAGAGAGGAAGAAAAAAGCCAGTCATTAAAAAGTCACAGGAAGAACCTAGTCAACAGGTACAGCTTCATTATAAAATAGTATTTAATATTATTCTTTCATACTTAGGAGAGTGACTAGTGGAGGAGCGGTGGCCTCACGGTTAGTGCGCTTGACTTTGGATCAAGTGGTCTGGGTTGAAGCCCTGGTCGGGGACATTGTGTTGTGTTCTTGTGCAAGACACTTTACTCTCACAGTGCCTCTCTCCACCNGGGGGGGGGGGGGGGGGGGGGGGGGGGGGGGGGGGGGGGGGGGGGGGGGGGGGGGGAGTAGAAATATTCCTAGACACTTCATGCTACAGAAACTGGAGATAAGCACCAGTCTGATGGGCCACTTGGCTCAGACAGTCTTACCTTGTGATCAACCACTTTTAATTATTGCAGCTGTGACCTGTTTGTTGTACTATGCATAGATTTTGACTGAATTAATATACTTTGAGGATAACATACTGTTCGCTTAATTACAGTATGCCTTAATGGACAAAACATGAGTCTACCCATTTTCATTGACTGAAAAAATAGTGATCAGTTGAGAGCAACTTATTATTACAGACTGAACTACAGCTGTTTTGGCAATTCCTCACAGCTTGTCTAACTTACAATTTGCTTTGATTATAAAGGACCCATAGCTGTTCTTTAAGTATCAAAATTTGGAATTTAATTTGAATATAAAACGTCCTAACCCTTTTTTTCATTTAAAAAAATTCTTCCAAATAATTTATTCTGTGTAATCTAAATAAAGTATTGCAGTTTTGCAGCTCTACATCTTGACAGTAATAGTCAGTTCGCTAGCCGGGGTGTTCTATAATTATTTGAGCCAAAATAATTCAGGATAAAGTTATTGTAAAGTCAGTTTCAGCTGTTTTGTTTACTGTTTTGTCTGTGTCAAAATGCTTTATGGTTTAATGTATGCAATTTTAACATTTAGTCTGGCAAGTTTGGAGAAGCTGGGAATCAAACTGAATCTGTTATGGCTAGTTCCAGTGTTGGTACAACAGAGCACATAGAAAAGGCTAGTGATACGCCAGAAGGTATATCGAAGAAAAACAACACAACAGTAAGAAAAGGAAGAAGGGGAATGATGAGGGTGACGATTGAACCAGAAGAACTAGAGGAAGAAGAAACAAGTGAAAACTCAACAAGGAGGGGAGGGAAAGGAGTGGTGGAGACAAATGAGACTGAAGAGGAAGACATTCAAAAGACGACTTCTGCAGCTGGAAGAAAAAGGGGAAGGCAAGCAGCAAGAACGAGCGTTTTAGAGGAGGAAGACAAGGAGATGCCTGTAACTAAATCAAGAAGGGGACGGAAGGGAAATCAACTACAAGCTGAAACAACTTCCGTGTCAGAAACACCACTCAAAACAGTAAGTTGATATTCAGTGAAGCTTTGTGTTAGGTTACCTCATTACTTCTGCCTACTTAGGCCTCAGGCCCTAAATGTCATTTAGAAAATGAATTTAGCATCTCCTGTAAACTGGGTTTTAGGCCAGCCATGATGGCAATGAACAGTACAGTCCTCTTAATATTGCCACCTCTTAACAGACTGTACTCACCCTAAGGTAAAATAATTTATAATTTGAAACAAACTGATTTTGAAGCCTTCAGATATTGCAAGAGTACAAGAGGTAACTGATTCTGAACCAGCAACAGTTGTGGCCGTAGAACCTCTTAATGTGCGCAGAGGAGGAAGAGGAAGGGGAAGAAAGGGAATGGCAGCTAAAGAAACAATGCAGGTATATGTACAGAGGTGTAAGGACCTCACAGCACTTGTCTAGAGAAATAAAAGATTGTAGGGTGGGGAAGGAAATTTTGTTTGGAGTGAGTTCAGTCTTGAGGGTGCCTGTTATGTGAAGGAGTTTTAAAATTGGATTTCAAAAATGTTTGCTCAAGACACTGCAAGGGTTTGATTATTGTATGGTAAATTCCCTAAAGATACACATGTAATGATGTGAAAGACAAAACAAGATTTACAGTATGATGGATTGGGGTTTTTTTGGATGAGGGGGCTGAGAGGATGACACATATTTTTTAGAGAGCTTCATTTCTACCAGGTTTTATTGAACAAAAAATAAAATGCCAATAGATTTGCAATAATGTTTGTTGTTGCTGATCAGTTCATGAAAAAAAAATTGTTCAGACCAACATTTGTGTGGGCAATGCATCTAAATAAAGTATTTTGTATAAATTATAGACAATGGAGGATCAAGGTGAAGAAGCATCTGGTACTTCTGTTGAACCTCAGCCAGAATCACATGTAGAAGCCATGTCAACAAGAGGGAAAGGAAAAGGAAAAGGGAGGGGAAAGAAAAGTCAACCCGCAAGTAATGAATCAATGGTATGAAAAATCAGTTTGAGTATACATGAAGATACAATGAAAAGGGAACTAACAATTATTATGGAACATCAGAAGATTTACATGTGTGGAGTATTATGGTGCACAGTCTGTTAACTAGTTTTGAATAATTATTTGAAAGAGGAAATATAAGTCATTGGTAGCAGTCTTGGTTTGAAGTTCTTAGTACACTAGAATATCCAATCAGTATGCAGGAGGTCAACTAAGTTTAAATCCTGTTGAGACTCAGGAATTTTTTCCATGCTCATGACATAGCTGATTAACATCTTACTGTTATTTCACTGAGCTTCATATTCAGTATCATGTCAATTGTATAATTTAACGCTACCTTAATACTTCTTAGTGTACACTTACTTAGGCTCTTTGCTAGTCATGGAGTGTAGGCTAACACCTAGAGTGCTCCAAAGTTGTCTTAATTAGTGTCCTGGTCCACCTTCTCCAGTTGTGCCCATTGTAATCTTGTTTGTCTCATATCTTCCCCTATACTTCTCCTCCACATGTTGTGTGACCATCAGTATAACTCTCTCATTTTTCCTTGGGGGCTCTACATGCATATGTTAGCGGCTGTTTATCAATATTTTGCTTTTTCCTTCAGAATTATTTTCAAAGGAAATTCAAAGTTAAAGCACAGATTTTTTCAGAGTTTTACATAGATTTTTACATAATATATGATGAAGGCCAAAATATGTGTAATGTTGTACATTCAGTGCATTCTGCAGCTTACTAGTTATGTCTTTTGTGTTGTGAATTTGATGGCTTAGGCAACAGAATCTGTTGATGCAGAGGTATCTGCCATTTCTGAAGATGTTCAGCCACAACAAGCCATAGCTACACCTGCCAGAGGAAGAGGGAGAGGCAAAGGCAGAGGAAAGAAAGCACAGTCTACTCCAAGCATTGATCAACAGTTAGGGGCACCTAGTAGAAGTTCTTCTCCACACTCAGTAAGTGCTGAATCTGAGATCACATTTGCTGACTTTTAAAGTTTAGTCATAAATTTGGCGAAGTGAACACATCTTTAAGATAGAAATTGGGTGTTAGTATGTGGCCCAATTCTTTTGTGTTGAAAACTTGTTAGCAGAACTTTCAAGGTATTGTTAATGTTATGCAGTGCAAGTGGGCACTAGCTTTTCGGTTTTTGTGATGAAACCGTAGTATTTGATCTTTCAAATGAAAGCTATTGAGCTACAGAGAGCTGTATAGAGTGTAAATGATATTTGGGTCCTTTTTTTTCAATTTTGAATTTTTACAAACTTGACTCAAATGGTGGAAATGTTAACTGGTTTATGTATTACTGATTGCATTACAAAGTACAGTGTGTTGTGATCAAAATGAATTTTTTAGGTTGGTAAGTGTGTTTAGTGTACATTTTGTGAACCATAGGTTCCAGAGACTCCTGCCATCAATGATGAATATTTGCCACCACCGGAATCNTTGTACATTCAGTGCATTCTGCAGCTTACTAGTTATGTCTTTTGTGTTGTGAATTTGATGGCTTAGGCAACAGAATCTGTTGATGCAGAAGAAGTTCAGCCCAAACAAGCCATTGTCACACCTGCGAGAGGGAGAGGGAGAGGCAAAGGCAGAGCAAAGAAAGCACAGCCTACTCTAAGCACTGATCAAGAGTTAGGGGCATCTAGTAGAAGTTCCTCTCCATACTCAGTAAGTGCTGAATCTTAGATCACGTTTGCTGACTTTTAAAATTTAGTAATAAATTTGGTGAAGTGAACACATCTTTAAGATAGACTTTGGGTGTTAGTTATGTGGCCCAATTAATTTGATTTGAAAACTTGTAAGCAGAACTTTCATGGTATTTTTAATGTTATGCAGTGCAAGTGGGTTCTAGCTTTTCAGTTTTTAGAATGAAACTGTAGTTTTTGACCTTTCTAATGGAAGCTATTGAGCTACAGAGAGCTGTATAGAGTGTAAATGATATTTGGGTCCTTTTTTTTCAATTTTGAATTTTTACAAACTTGACTCAAATGGTGGAAATGTTAACTGGTTTATGTATTACTGATTGCATTACAAAGTACAGTGTGTTGTGATCAAAATGAATTTTTTAGGTTGGTAAGTGTGTTTAGTGTACATTTTGTGAACCATAGGTTCCAGAGACTCCTGCCATCAATGATGAATATTTGCCACCACCGGAATCACCTGCCATAGCTGCAGCCTCAAAAGGGAAGGGCAGAGGAAGACAAGGAAGAGGAAAGAAAATGCAGCATTCAGTCACTGAGTTAGAGGCATGTTTATACATTGCATAATAGTTATTTTATTATCCTGATTGTCTTTAATCACACAGAATTTGAATTTATAATAAGGAATGTATCAAATTACATCATCATTGACATCAACCCTCTCCACCATTGGGCGATTCAGCTGTCCTCCTGTACCCTCATCCCTCTTTGGCACTGTTTGGGCTCTGTTCCAGTTATAGGCCACTTATTCTAACAAGTCTGCAGTATGGAGTATCTCCATTTGCTTCTAGGCTGCCCTCCTTTCCTCTTTCTCTGATGGTTATATACTGGAGTTGTACTCCAAAGCCTGTCTTGTGATGGTACAGTTTTCTTTTCTGCATGCTTTCCTGTTCCAGTGTCACTTCCTGCATCTAACTGATTATCATGACATGTTCCAATGTGTTGTTTCTCATCTAAGCTCTGTGCCAGATACTAGAATATACCGGGCTGAAACTTTAAGTCAGTGCCTAGTGATCTCATCTTATGCTCATATTGAAAGGAAGCCATCTTAAAATGATTTGTTTTTGATGTTATTTCTTCAGGCAGAAGAAAAAACATCTCAGCCAGAATCAGAAAGCTCTCAAACAAGAAAAGGACGGAGCAAAGGAAAAATAGCAAGGGAAAGCACAGAGCAGAACTCTGACATTGTATGAAGATCTGTTGTTGTTGTTAAGTGCTATTTCATATCTGATAATTAATATTATAATTAAAATTGATGCACAATGTTTTATGTTTTATCAAGATACATGTACGTGTAATATCACCCTAAAGTGACATGATTTCCTTTGATTGTTTGGTAGGCTGTCACATTGTCAGAAAGTACAGAATTTAGTGAGACAATTGGAGATTCAGAGGAAATTTCAACTGCTGGAAGTAGCAAAGGAAGCCGTAGGGGCAGGCAAAGAAAAGAGGCAGTGGAGGACTCAGAATCAGTGGTAAATTAAATTACAAAAGATGTGAGCTCTTCCTGTCTTTTCATCTGTCTGTCTATCTGTTCTTAGTCTGCTGTTTCTTTATTTGTCTGTGTCTGTGGATCTGTCTGAGAGCTTGAACTTTTTCTGAGTGCAAGAAGTTTTTGATTATTTTCATTCATTTTTTAGCATATTTCTGCATGTGAGATATACAGCATAGGAGAAAAAAAAGACTAATTCTGATGCTATAGGAACTTGTCAAAAAATCTTTGCATTGTTATTCTTGTCTTTCCAGGAGGTCAAGGAAACTCCAGCAAAGAAGAGCAGGCGTGGAAAAGAGCCCTCTGTAGTTCATAGTCCATCTTTAAATCGAGGAAAGTTACCAGGTGAAAGCAAGCCTAGAATCATGTTCACTGGTCTCGTTGATAAGCAGGGAGAGAAGGTAAGAAAATTCCTAAATGGCCGATTGTAAAGTCTAGTGGTCAGTGGTTGCCAGGGTTAATGTTTAGAGATCTTTGAGTTGCTCATGGTACATTCTTGGGTTGGCCACATGGCTCTAATAGTGCCCTTCTCCACCCAGCTGTTAATTGGTAATTTGATAGACAATTTGTAATAAATGTTGCATAGTTGGCTTGCAATAGACTGGCATCTTCTATTTGTAAATTCATGTAGAGGGCTGCAAAGATTTAACTTAACTTCTCTCAGCCATGTTTTTCAATTGCAAGTAGGTAGGCTGGCACTTAACTCTGGTTTCAGTAGCATAAACTGACTGAGAATATTTCTAGTAGCCCTTGGATTTCAAGCAAATTGGATGCTATTCCATCACAGCGTTACCCCAATTTTTGCACTTGGGTGGAGAGAGACACCACAAGAGTAAGCTATCTTGCCCAGTACCACAGCATAATGACCTAGGCCAGACCCAGACTGCTTGATCCAGAGTCCAGCATATGTGTACTTACATTAGGCCACCAGCATCTATCTTGTGAAGCGCGTAAAATTTAACATAATTTGCTACTCTGCTCATTAAAGATAAACACTCTTGTAGGTGGTGACAAGTCTTGGAGGTCAACTGGTGGATAACATTCACAACTGCACACATCTGGTTACAGATAAGGTGGGTGATGACCACTTTGTCATTTTCGGTCAAATGAATTTAACTGTGAAAGCTCTCAACTGTTAAACTCCTGAGCTTAGTTCTTTTTGAGACCTTTTTGGGATTCTCAATAAACATACAGGTCTATTGGAGAGAGATCTATGGGTTGTAGGTAGGTGGGGGG